CCTTCAGGGCATGCCACCACGCTGCCAATCACCCAGGCTTCTTCCTGGTGCTGCTGAATATCCTTTAGAATCTGCTTTGTCAGTTCCTTTGATACCACGAGGGCAGCCCCAATGCCACAGTTAAATGTTCTGGCCATTTCTTCTTTAGAGAGCTGTCCTTCCTGCTGTAACCATGAGAAGATGCTGGGGACCCTCCAGGTCTGGGCATCTGGAAACAGGCAAGAGTTGTTTGATTAACCTATTGTCTCACACAAGTACAAAGGTGCGCGCACACACAAAGATATGGACATTCCAACCAGCACTGTTATTTTATAGGGTAAAACTATAAACTGCCCTTTTAGGTTTTGGGGATCCATTTGTACCTTAGACATTAGGGACATTTTTGTTGACACGCTTGGCCAGTATTCACAATTGAGTAAGTTTTGTGTTGCATTAACTATCCAGAGTCTTAGAAACTCCTAATGGAGTAGATGTGCTAATAGCTGAATTCCAGTGAAGGTTGGCATGCTGCCCTTTTGTGAATGTTTAGCTGGATCTTAGTGATGACCCAAGTGCACCTCAAGTATGATGCAAAGCTAGGTGGCTTATATACAGGTTTAAAGGAAATGTATACACTATTAAAGAAAAGCCACGTTACACAAAAGGCTGAAGGTCAATACCCTGGTCTTCTATATTTATCTAAAAAAGTTTAGATTTAGGTCTGTTATAAGAATATATCCTCTGTTATCACAAATAATACAACAATAATCTTTAATAAAAAATTTTAGGTGAAGGTATACGCATGCAGGTACACACACACACACACACACAATTCTTGGATAATAAAAGAATTTGAATGGTTCTTTGCAATTTACAGTTATGGGACCTGATTTACAAAAACTATACTTAAATATTTATTTATGATGCTCCCAAGAAAGAGAAGCCACTGTGAACTTGGCGTTTTGTTACATAATAAGGCTGACTATCCATTTCCCTTATTTATTTGGGGCATCTGCAGGATAATTCGTTTTTTAATGCTGTAGAGTTGATACAATTTTTTTTTTTTAAAGATTTTATTGGGGAATTGGGGGAGGGGAATAGTGTTGGAGAATTGGGGAAGGGGAGCAGACAGGTAGACAAATTGCTGTTTTGTTCTTCAGTCTAGTTGTGGAGGATGTCGCTCTACTGGCCCATGTTGGTATGATCATTGCGCTATTCCTGGGTGAGGCAATCAGTTGCCAGTCATTGGTCGGCCGCTCATGGCGGCTCACGGCAGCTCTTGACCGCTGCCGGCCACTCTTGCTGGCTGCCAGCCACTCATGCTGGCTGCCAGCCACTCACGTAGCTCACGGCAGCCCACTGCAGCCTACGCCGTCGCCGGCGACTCACAGCAGCCCAGCTCCAGGTTGAGCTGTTGTTCACCATCTTAGCTGTAGAGAGCAGTGTCACTGGCCCTCATATGTGGGATCTGAACCGTGGCCCTGCTGCTCAGAGGTGGCGCTCCCAAGCGAGCTCTTAACCAGCTGAGCCACTCGGCCGGCCGATACAATTTTTAAAAGGCATCACATGTCTATGAATCTTGTCCCCTATCAGATTTAATTCCATTTCTACTAGCTGGGAAATGTCCATTCTTAAAACTTGGGCTCAAAAGATTTAGCTACTATGATGTTCACTATTCTATCAGTAATCAAACGTCGACAGCAATATAAAACCAAATAGTGCTATACCCATAAAACATGAAATACTCTTCATAAAAAATGATGCAATTATGAGGTAGATATATTAAATGGCGGAATAGCAGATTACCAAACTATGATCCCATTTTAGCAAAAAAGATTTACAACGTACTTATAGAAAAAAGACTGACAGACTAAGAGCCTAGTTCCTACAAATGAACATGTATGTTATGAATGACATAACAAGTTGTAACTTTAATGCTGAGAATTCCTTCCTTAAATCTGTTGTCCAAGTATGACTCCTGGAGAAAACCTCAGAGGTTGATGCAAGGGACTGAGTTTCCTTTTTAATGGGTCACAGACATTTGTGTAACTCAAAACATAACAGACCTTAGGAATATGGCTATATCAACTCTCCATTTCCTGGTGTGGCAACCATGGTGTTATTTTTAACCAGTGATGTGCTAGAGCCAGCTTGTGGAGACATACAGCCATTTAAAACTGGCCGGAGAAACTAAAAAAAGAACTACCATACAACCCAGCGATTCCACTTCTTGGTATTTATCAGAAAAAAATGAAAACACTGATTTGAAAACATATATGTACACCCATTTTCATTATATCATTATTTACAATAGCCAAGATATTAACCAACCTAAGTGTCCATTCATAAATTAATAAAGAAGACATCCATATATATAACAGAATGTTACTCAACAATAAAAAAGAATAAAATGTTGCCATTTTGCAACAACACGGATACACTTATTATGCTAAATAAAATAAGTCAGACAGAGAAAGACAAATACTATATGATTTAACTTATATATGGCATCTAAAAAGAAAACAAAACAAACAGACAAAACAAAAACAGATTCACACACACACACACACACACACACACACACACACACACAC